AATTAGTACTGGTAAGTTTCTTCCCACGATGCTGGCCTCACACCCGGTTACAGCGAAGTGGGCTTGTTTTTTTTTTCAACGCAGGCGAGCCCATGTCGGGGCCCCTGCACCTATGGATGCAACCCTACAAATATTGGGATAAGCCCCCAAGTGGTGCAGAAGTTTTGGTCCAATCCCAGCATAGGCTGCAGACAAAGAGACGGAGAAGGTCAAGGAAGTTCCGCTGGAGCCCATACTGCCGGAGCCGGCTCCCGTGCTGGAACCAGCTCGAGCGCCTGCGCCGCCTGCGCCAGTAGCGTCAGCTTCAGCGTGGCTTAGCTGTTTAGAGTCCTTGCAGTTTGTCTCATGTCTGGAGACCTGATGTCAGGGAACCAACGCAATTGTCTAAGAACCTGCTCACATACCCGAAATGGGTATACATGGGCTGCTTATAAGTACATTGGAGAACAGGGCCCAACAACTACGCTCATATGGCCGTAGAAGTTGGCCTCGAGGCTTGCTAGCATTGTTTGTGTTTTGCAAAGAAATGCATTCCAAGGAGTGCGAAGAACGAATCCCTTGTGGTCAAGGTTTCAAAGGAGAGCCTTGAAGACGTCGTGCGTTTCAAGTTTGTGTCACAAGACCCAGAAAATTGAAAGACTTGTGCAGGAGAACGGCAAATTGGGTGCGAGACTCGACACCCTTTGGGAGGACTACGCTGCAACTTGGCGCAATCAGCTGTCCTGAGAGCAGATTCTCTAAACAGCTCTCAGGTTGTGAAGGTGGTCGAGCCGAACGGCTCCCTTCAGAAGCAGAGACTCAGCTACCGTTGGGTGAAAGATGGTGCAACTTCCCCCCATTTTGGTTTAGTCATACCGATCTTCTTTACTTACGCAAAGGACATTGTACCATCTATTTTCAGGCTGGTGTAGCCTTTGGCCCTGGCATGTTTGTAGCACTCTAGCACCATGATGCCAAAAGAGCAGTGTCCTGCATGTTTGAGGAATATCCAACCGTTTGACCGCCTGACGCATGTGAACGGGGCGTCCAAGCCCGCGTCGGATCTGATGACACTCATCGCAGCAAGCGACACTCTCGAGTTGACATTTCAGCGGCCTAGCATGAAGGCCGATGCGATCGTTTTTCGGGCGGAGTCGCGTGTGCGGGTCCTTTTTTTTGTCGCCTGTCTGACAGATTCTTGTGGCCGCAATCATGTATGACAATTTTGCAAAGAGACAGCGCGAGTCGCAGGAGGTGGTCCTGGAAAAGAATGGCAAGCCTGTTACTTGGCTATGACTATGCTTTGCCTGCAAGAGCGAGAATCATGAAGACACACAAACGGCGTGGCCTGCGCAAATGAATGGTTTGCAGATTTCCGGTGACACCGTTCCGTCATGTCATGTATCTTTTTGCGTTCCACTTTTGCCTCTCCTGGCATTTGGAGGTTGGCCTGAAAGTAGACAAGAATGCAGACTCCATGGGCCTGGTCATCAAGGAACCAACGAGAGAGAGGGGGAGAGAGAGAGAGAGATGCCCTTCGAAGCAATCAGATTGATCGATCCAGGACATCGCCGAGGGAGTCGTGCGAGAAATGCCTGCTGGAACTCTTCAATCCATGGACCGGATCGTGGCTGTGGATGGTTGCTTTGCAGCAAAGCAGAGAGCTAAAAGCCAGGTTGGCAGGGTACTCGACTTTTTTTGAGCAAGCCCCCAAAGGTAGACTTGAACCCAGGAATCCTGGAATTGGATCAGGTTCCTCTTTTGAAGATATTATCAGCCGGGTTTATGTCTACCTTGGGGAGTTCCTGAAAATATGGAATCCTCAAACAGTCTCTAGGCAAGGACAGGGCAAATGTCACTCCCTCTCAGCTGCTTATCAGTCTTGACTTCGATGAGCACTAGCACAAGGTGGCATCAGGGTACGAAAAGGGCCATATTTTTGTCATCATTCTCAGGTTTCTTTTGCACACGAGCCTAGTCTAAGGGAGTGAACGGTTAACTGTAGTCCTGAACCTTCAAGTGATAGATTCTGTAACATCCGAGAGCTTGAACAATACATTTCAGCACACCTCAACTCCCCGTTATATATTAGGCATGGCATGCCACACTCCCACCCGTTGGGAATATTGACGATAATGCTACCACAAGCCCAACTCGGCTAGGGCTGAGAAGCCCAGCATTTTCTTCGTGCTGAGCGCACAAACTTCGAAAGTTGGCAGAAGCGCTCCCAAGGCAAAGACCCAGTTCGGACCCCCAGACACACTGCCTGGACCAGGCGACCAAAAACATAGCATTCGTCATGCTAAGCCACAAAGCCCATGAAGCCTATACACATCGCAACAGGCCCCGCGCCGCAAAGTCGGACTTTGCCGCACCGACGGCTAAAACGCACCCGCAACCACGCATTCAAAGATACACTCTAGGCGGGGCGTAGTGGAGGCCTTTGGCACCTAATCGCCTCAGGCCCAAGGGCTGCCGGATATGTTATATGGCAAGCACAAAATATCTATCCATCCATCCATCCATCCATCCATCCATCCATCCATCCATCCATCCATCCATCCATCCATCCATCCATCCATCCATCCATCCATCCATCCTCCATCCATCCATCCATCCATCCATCCATCCATCCATCCATCCATCCATCCATCCATCCATCCATCCATCCATCCATCCATCCATCCATCCATCCATCCATCCATCCATATCTATCTATCTATATCTATGTATCTATGTATCTAGTCTTTTTTTTTTATATCTTATCTTATCTTATCCTATCCTATCCTATCTTATCTTATCTTACCTTATCTTATCGTATCCTATCCTATCCTATCTAATCTAATCTAATCTAATCTAATCTAATCTAATCTAATCTAATCTATCTATCTATCTATCTATCTATCTATCTATTTGTCGATCTTTGTCTGTCTGCTTGTTTGTCTGCCTATTTATCTATACACAAACACACTCTTTTTATACTCTGGGGTCACCTGAAATTCTTTACATTCCATGCATTTGCCAGGTGATCCAGAATGATTTTGTGGTCTAATTTTGGCTTGTTTTGAAAGCAGGTCTCCTTAAAAGATACATTTTGCCCATTTAAAACATGGTTTTTTCCACCAATACAAAGAGAAACCACCATTTACGAGGCAATGTTCAGGTGTATAATGTAAGGATCCCTGTTTTGGGTATGGCTGTTGGGGCGTGGGGCACTTCGGCGCCCTTTTCACAGCCATTTTGGGAGCCCTTGTGATGTGTGTTGTTGCCTTCTTTAGGATCTTTTGACACAGACAGAGAAAAGAGCGTGCAGACCTGCAACTCCGCGTTGTGCAAGGCCACGCAAGGATTGCCCAATTTAGTGGTTATATGATGTAATATAAGCGTTCATTTTCGCAAAGACTTATGATCTTTCGATGGCGGCTCTTCCTATCATTGAAACGCAGAAGTCCCAAAGTGTTGGATTGTTGTTTTCACCAGTCGTAGACCTTCGTGAGACCAATTAGTTTTACCCACTAATAAATTTGATGCAAAGTCAGACTAGGGTCAACCTCAACAGGGTCTTCTTTCACTCGATGCCCGTTTCCTCGGCTGTGGTGTTGCTAGCAACAAGATAAGTTAAGTCGGGGCAATGGAATCTTGTGAATTCATTCACGCGTGTCACTAACCAAACGACGAGGCATTTGGCTACCTGAAGAGCTCCCAATTACTCGCGCCGTTTACTCGCGCTTGTTTGACTTTCATCACTTGTTCCACATTCAGAGCGCTGGGCAGAAATCGCATTGCAACACCACCTGAGGCCATCGCAATGCGTTGTGTATTGGCCTTGTCCGTTGCTTTGTGGTTGGTTCAGGATGAGTTTTAGTTTTGGAGCTGGTCTTGGAGATAGTTCTTTGGTTTAAGGTTGGCTTGGGATCAGCTCAGGCTGGATGGGGTTGGGTTCACTGAGCCTGGCTAACCTGCCCCGTCCGGTCCGGTGCCAGGTTGCTGGCCGCCTGGGGGGCTGGGGGTGGGAGCGAACTCCTAGATCTGATATGGCTGTGGGTCATAAATGCGTACCCAAAATGGAACCTTGGTAAATGGAACCAAGGACAAAAACCTGCGGTCCTCTTGTGGTTGTATTTTGACCCACATATGGACCATCTCAAATCAACCCCTCAAGATAGCCCAAAGCCTCCGCTCGCTCCAGCAAACCCCTGCCGTTCCACAGAGAAGAGGGGAGGGGGAGGGCGGTTGGGAGGGTGGATCACCTATCGACATGCTTCCTTGTAAACGCGTCGGCATAAGAAACGGAGCGTTCAGCACACATTATACACGTGTGCATGCATACATGTTGAGGCTCGCTAAAATGAAACAAATGACCGCTCAGTTCAACTTATTTCCACAACCCCTAGATTACACACTTGGGAGTTGCTCAGGCAAGAAAGCACCTCCTGCGGAGCTGATGGACATGATTGGAAAGAGCAACCGGGTCACTCTAACAGTGCGGCTTGTCAACATAGTCCGGGGACCAGACATGCAGACGGTGTTGCAGTGAATGTCGATCGAGCAACAGAAACACGCCAGAGTTTTCTGGTTGGATGTTGTTGCCTCACTTGCAATATGTAGGGACTCCAGTACCATGAGCCCCATTCCATGCTCAGGTGCAGATACGGTGCATAGCTGAGCAGCCCCCATGTCGTCAATGCATATCCTTGTTCGAACCTTTGTCAGTTTTGTATTTTATTTATTCAGGCTTTTGCTTCATCAATGAAGGCACATACGCTGTCACGTGCAAGTTTGGGATGCAGAGATGTTTTCCCCATGGACAAAGGTCGAAAAGGCCGGGAGGGCAAAGCTCCTAAGCTCCTGGTGCCTGTCAGGCAGGCCTTATTGAAACCTAGAGTGCCTTAACTCTTTCTACAGGCCGTTTTCCCGAAGCGGCGACCGGGAACGCGAAGCGTCTCCTCGGGTTCTGAAACTGGAAAAAGACGATCGCCTTGTGCGACTGACGTGGCAGTTTGCAGAGCTCGACTCTTCAGGAGGCAGCTTTGTTCACCGCCGAGCTGATGGAAATGCAGCCCCGGCATGTTCTACAAAACAGGGCCAAGGTGCTGGACAGCTGGGTTTTAGGGCCAGTTTCTGTGACGTCAAGGAAACCCTTTAGTGATATGATGAAGAAGTTACGGGTACGGATTATGGGTACGGATTATTTCCTACCACCATGAGGTCACCTCATTCGCGACCTTTAGGTACGAGCGCTTCGCAGACAGCCGAGGTTGGCACTTCCAGGCATGGCCTGTCAATCTCTATGTGCTTCTTAGCCACCATCAATGAGACAGTCATGGAGTCGCACCGGCGCATGTGCCAAAGCATGCAGAGGTCTCTTCGCTTCGAATACTGCAAAGCAATCGTTGACTTTGCATGAGCTCTGCAGGTGGAGTCCTTGATCGAAGGGCAATCAGAAAGTGGAGTCAACTTTGCTGCTGCATCCTCCCCGCAGATGAGCGTACATGTGTTCGTGTTGTGATAGCTGTTTGAGAAATACCTTCGCAATTCAGGGTTTGGTGAGTGCACAGTGTCAGCTGCGGACACATGGCGTGCAAATCTCACTGGAAAGCCAAGGTACGCATATCTGGTGGTGGCGATGAGGAGACTATGGGGCAGTCTGCATTTCGCCTGCGGCATTGTGGAGAAAAGCCCTCTCCCAACAACAGCCCAGATAACTCAATGGTACAACTCTGTTTGGGTCGCCTTAGAATCACTTCCTGTAGGAGTCCGCCCCGTTTGGATGGCTGCGGCACGAGTCCGGGGTACATAGAGTACAGCGGGTTCCGCTCACTGAACGGAAGGGCCGGATGCAAACATCCAGTTGCGCAGTTGTTCTCCTGCCAGTGGCAGAGGAGGAAGACTTCAGCCTATCACCAGGAGATGTGCAAATCGAGATCAGCAAGAAATCCTCCGGCCCAGGTGGGCAGAGTGTAAACGCAGCTCACCAGGCTGTACGCGCGACCCACACTCCAAGCGGGCTGTCGGTGCGATGTACTTCCTCACAGTCGCAGTTTGAGAATAAGACCCGTGCTCTGGAGATGCTGCGGACGAAGCTTCTTGACCAGCAGTTGTCGGCGCGAGCCGAGAAAGAGCGGAGCCAGCGCAAGGGACAGCGGGGAACTGGGGATCGATCGGAAAAGATCCGGACCTACAATTTCCAGCGCGACGAGGTGACTGACCACAGACTGCCCAAAGATCAAGGCGGCGCAGGTCACTCTGCCAATGATGTTCTATTTGGAGCCGGTTTGGAAGGGATTCTGAAGGCGCACAAGCATCACACCAGATTGGCTTACCTCAACCATGCCGTTGATTTGTTGAAAGATGAGCTCGTGCCGAAAAATGCGAGTGTCCTATGAGTCTGCAGTGCCCAAATCTTGTAAACTGGAAATCAAATCACGGCTGATACACAGCAGGATCTGCAATTCCAACAGTGGTTTCGAGGTCCAATTGCATTGCCTGCCCACCAACGTAAACTTGGCATCAGCCTCATCAGCATCATTGGCATCACTAGCATCACCCGCATCACCCGCATCAACTGCATCCCCAAAACCAGCATACCCAGCAGGCGCCAGCAGCATCGACTTTCGGAAATCAGGAATCCTATGTACCCGCTGAATATTGATTGTAGCTCTTTTTTCTTGGGACTCATGTCATTCCATCAGGGCCTTCCATCGTGCATTTGCATGCCATCTTGGCTCTTGCATAAGTTGCCAGCAGCTTTGCCCTTCCCCAAAGCTCCCAAGGTGTCACCAAAAAAGCAGTCTGAAAAGGTTCAGCGCTTCTCAGCTCTCGCCATGACCGATTCCAAAGAGTCACCAAAGGTGCTGGCTTTGGTAAAGGAGGTGGAGGCGGGCCACGAACCAAACGAAAATTGGGAGGTGCACGCCCTGTAAACAGAAGTTAGCCAGGATTATCTCAAACTGACAAGGACAACAAACAACCCTGTCGAGTTTTGCTGGTTGAAAGCAAGATAGTCCACGGACAAAGCACGGACAGTTGTTCAGGTCGATCCCTTCAAGTGCACAGGGTTGAGCAAGCGAAGTGAACATGTGTTAAGCCCCAAAGACTCAGCAGGCTTTGCTTGGTAGCTCAAGGGAAACCAAACAGAAACAAACTTTGGGTCCCCGAATTTTGAGAAAGTCCTCAAGGAGCTGGTTTCCTGGTGGTTTGACAAAGAGTTCCTAGTGGTTTCCTTTTGGTTTTCTGGGGAGCTGTGTCCTGAGAGTTCTGGTGGTTCCGTTCTAGGACAGCATCAGGAACTCTCCGACAAAGCAACAGAAAACCCCAAGAAACCACCAAGAAACCATCAAGAAACCACCAAGAAACCACCAAGAAACCACCAAGAAACCACCAGGCAGGAAATCTCCGAAAAAAAAGGGAATAAAAAACACCAGGAACTGGTTTACTGGAGAGTCTTTGGGAGTTTCTTGTGGTTCCCTGGAGACTTCCTGGTTGTTTCCTAGGGTTCCTGGTTTGGTTGACTGAACCCTG